ATTTACAGTTTTGCATACCTTCATTTTTTTACCTTTTCGCAAAAAGGCGCAATTACAAATTTGCTAATATTTGTTATTTATTAACTCAATACAGTTTTATCTTTTAGATTTAGTCAGAAAATAATTTTTTTTGTGCACGGATACTGATTTTGGTGTGTTTTAACAATTGAATTGTGTATTTTTATCGGTTTAATATTAATTTGAGAAACATTTGCGCAATTATCGCAGGGCCTACAAATTTAGTATCACCATCTTTTTATTCTACCGGGCCTGCGCTTTCAGAAAATATATGGTTTGGGGGGTCTTTTACAAACGCTAGCAACGCAGCAGTTGAAAATCAAATCAATAGGAAAAAATTGCAGAAAATGCAAAAATGGCTTGGCCAGCTGATTTGAAAAATGTTCCGGAGGGCTTGGCAGCGAAAGGGTTAAAAAAAATGAGTTCTATTTTTTCATTATTTAGAGGGCTTGTTATGGGGTATAAGGGTTGTTTAATTCATTTTTTATTAATGTTCTTTGTTTTGTTTTTTTTTTAATGTATCCTATTTTTGTGTATTTGATCATCATTTGTATATGGAAGCTTTTTTTTTTCTTCCCTGTAAAAAAAATAAAATAATAACAATAATAATGATGATGATAGTAATAAAAATAATAATAATGCCAATGAGGGGCTACTTCTATACATAAACAGGTCCAGGATAAAAGAAAAGCACTTCTAAAACCCTCAGTTGCACCCTTAAAAACCCCCCTCAAAAACCAACTTAAAGGAGAACTATGGGGTCAGTGTTTTTCCCCATAGTTCTCCTTAGGGTAATGGGAGGACACAAACTAGCGTCCTCCCGTTACCCTGGGCTCAGTATACCGCGAGCTACAACTCGCGGTATACTGAGACGCCGGAGCGGATCCCGACGTAGATGGCGGGATCCACCCAGCTGCGTGAGTGACAGCTGGCTCTGCCTATCTAGAGGCAGAGCCAGCTGTACCCGCCCCCTCCCCCGTCCGTTCCGCCAGTCAGCGCTGGCTGATCGGAGCGGGGAGAGGGGAATCCAGCCCCTCCCCCTGTCACGGCAGAGAGCCGTGACAGGATCGAGAGGTGAGCGAACGCCGGTATGTGTTCGCTCACCTCCCGATCTACTGAGCCGACCCGTGACAGTCTCATTGTCACAGGTCGGCTAGAACTATGAGGTGAGTGGAAATCATTTATCTCATAGTTCTCCTTTAACATCATCGTGCACCATTTTTTAGGTGCAGCACAGTATTTATGCATCTGTGCAATCCAAAATGCTTTTAGGCTGGGTTCACACCTAGGCGTATTGAATATGCTCGTTTATCGCGCGTTTCGTGCCGAGCGGTTTTTTTACCATGAATTGCGACAAACGTGCATTTCCGAGGGCTACCTGGCTGTATCCCAATGGATACGTGTGGCAAATACGCCCCAAAGAAGCCCCTGTACTTCTTTGGGTGTAGGGCGTTTTGTAGCGCGTTCATACGGCCTGTAATACGCCCAGGTGGGAACCATACCCATAGGAAATAATGGGATTTCGGTGTTTGAGCGTTTTGCAGAGCGTAGGAATGCGCTACAAAACGCCCAGTCAACTTTAAGAAAACCCCCCACTATAGATTTGTTATGTGTTCCCATTCACACAGCATACCTGAAAGTTAATGAACAAAATATATTTATGTATATATATATATATCTCTTATATTTTAGATGTCTCTTTGGTGAAGTCCTATGTGTAGATTCCGGTCCAGTCTGAGCAGTTTGAAAGTGAAAGTCCAGGGACAGACTGAGCTTTCTTTCCTTAACATGCGATGCCTCTATCTCTTTAACCCTTTGTTAGGACAGTGTTTAAATCCAGGTTAAAATTGATATTGAGACATCCAGAGCAGTACAGACAGGGTTAATTATTAGGGATGCACCTATACCGATGCTTGTACTCTCTCAAATGTTCCAATGCTTATCTCCGGTACCAGTGCCGCAAAGGAACATGGAGCTGGCTTTCCGGCCAATCAGGAAGCCTGGGCGGTGGGTAATAACTCCCCGCCCGGCTTCCTGATTGGCCGGGAAGCCGGCTCCATGTTGTTTAACCGGCTTGATGCTGATTGACTGGAAAGTCGGCTTTCCAGCCAATTAGCATCAAGCCGGCCAAACAGCATGGAGTTGGCTTCCTGGGCAATCAACGAGCCAGGCGTCAGGTAATGTATAGGAAATTATGGACACCGGCACTCCAAAGTAGAATCACGTCTTTTATTGACGTGTCATGCAACAATACACTTCTTGCAACGTTTCGGGGTCACACAGGATCCCCTTCATCAGGCAGAACAAGTCGTCAGGTAATGACACGCCGCCCAGCTTCCTGATTGACCAGGAAGCCGGCTCTATGCTAGCAGAAGTACTGGTGTCGGTATTCGGCATCGGCAAAGATAAATATTGTTACTCGCACTCAAGACCGAAAAACTGGGATGGATGCATGCCTATTAATTATTATTATTATTACAGATATTTATATAATGCCAGCAATTTACGCAGCGCTTTACATACTGCACATTGTTGGACTATAAATAACTCTCCACCCCACCTCCTTAACATTACATGGGGGGCTAGGTAGTATTTACAATCAAGTAAAAAGCACTTAAAACCACAAACAGCATTTTTTAAATATTTGTCTTTAATTTATTTAACTTTCAGTTATGCTATGTGAATGTAACAAATATAAAATGGGTGTAATCCCAATTTGGCTGCAAAAGCAACTCTTAAACTCAATAGAATAGTTGTATTTAAAAACTCTTACTGCGACTTACTGTAGATCATAGCTGGTGGGAGGAGCCAGCAGGGGGCTGTACATAGCTTCACAGCACCCCGCCTCAGTTCTTCTTTCAAGAGCCCTCAGTCCTGATGCAAGCAGTGGGCTGGCTCTTGGGAGGAGTTATGCAAATATCAGAATGCCTTGATGGGTGGGCTCAGCCTGGAGGAGTGGGTGTTCCTAGGCAGGTTGTATTTGCAGACCACCCTAGGTAATGTCCACATGCCATGCTGAGCCTCTGTGATTGACAGAACAGAAATCCAATGAATGAGGTCTCTGTGATTATTGAGGAATATAAATATTTGTGCCCAGAGTTCAGCTTTAATTTCACCTGCTGATCCCCCCCCCCCCCCAACTTTATTTTATAAAAAAA